TTTGTTAACTGAACTTTGGACATTTGTATTAAGATGCTAGAGACTATGGTTTTTATTAATGGCTCCTTTCTTGGGTTTTCTCTCCCATGAATTTCTGGGCATCTCAGTTACTCTTCTTCCATCTTTCAGGCTACTTCCTACATTACTTGACTTTAAGGATATACACAGTCAGCATTCTTCCTCCCCCATCTTTTTTCACTTAAAGACCTTTTGATTAGATTTACAAGAGGAAAAAGAAAAGGAAGGAGAAGGATGCTGATAGCTCACATTGTAATCACGCCATTATATTTGCAAAACAATTTCCTCACATCCCTGTGGAGTGGATATTATTAACCCTATTTTACTGCTGAAGAAAAAAAGAATCTATGAAGTTAAGTGACAAGCTGATCGTGAAGCTAGTTAAGTGTCCGAGATAAGTCCTTGGAGATCATTTAGTCCAATTGCCTCAGTTTGCAGATGAGAAGACCAAATCCCCGGAAGATTAACAGCAGAAGGTCACATGGCTTCTAAGGGGCAGACTTGACATTCAAACCTAAATCTTCTTTTTCTAAATTCAGCACTCTATCCAATACTCCATGAAAAGTTTCAATGTCACTCTGTTTAAGCACATTATCTAAAGACAGTCTGTAATAAGTAATGTGATGGCTTTGTAGGAAACAACTAAAAAAACTGAGTATAGGTTGCCAGAAGACATGAGTAACAAACGATATAAGCTGCAGTATAAAAGCTCCATTGTAGAAGAGATTTTTAAAGAAGAAATTCACATTTTAGACTGTTCCTATTGTACCTAAGGATGATGATCATAATTATTTCACATTCACATGGTACTTTCAGGTTTGCGAAGTGATTTGCAGAAAAGATAATCTGTTAGAAAATATATCCATAGACCATTTATTTAGGGATATAAAATATGCCAGCACAAGTGGGAAGGAAATTTACAAGTAGAATACTTCATCAGTTCCTGTTACTTATACTATCATACAGAAGTAATGTACCTACTTGAGAATCAGGCAAAAATGAATTGTTCAAAATATAGGCTTCTTAACAAAAAGGAACAATTTACATTTTTAGAGCAATATTATTGATAATATCCTCCCACTAAGCAGAACCAGGAATTTATTGTATGTTGACATCCAGAATAGAAGCAATAGTTGTGGGTGCCTATAATCTAACTGATTTTTTTTAAATCACAGCATACTGTATCTACTTTCCGACTCAGAGCTGTGAGGAAATTGCTTTACACAAAAGCTTCATACAGATGTGAGTTATTAATACCATCTACCTTCTTCCTCCTTCTTTTCCTCTTTCTCAATCTCCTCTTTTCCTAGCTAAGTACAGAGAAGCTGTCACCAATAATTGGTTGCTTGGTGATAAATTATTTGTCTACGGCAACTCCTGAAACAAATAAAAAAATTAAAGTGGACCTAGCTATTATGTAGGCCTCCTTCTGCCTCTGCAGGGTGTTTTTGTCATTGGGTTTTTGCTTTTGGGGGTTTTGGGGGGTTTTTTGGTGACAGAATTAGCCAGAAAGAGGCCCAAGTACCATAAGGCCAAGAACTATGTTCTTTCCTGATTTTTTGTTTGCCCAGGTCCTAGCCTAGTGTTTTGTACATAGCATTAGCTTAAATGAAAAATCACAAAGTTAGACCATCTGTAAAAATTAGTTTAGCTATTGCTACTTCATATATGAGATCTTTGTCCAGTGCCCAAAGAGTGGAGATGCTACCTCAGAAACAACATTTTATCAACCAATATTCTTTCTATGAATTAAATCAGATGACAACAACAAACAACAAAAAAAAGTTGCACATAAAAGGAAGAATAGGTAAGGTTCTCCTTGGAGAGGAAAATAAGAAAAGAAACTGACCCCTAGTCATAGCTAATTAGTATCAGAAGCAAGATTTAAACCCAGGCCTTTTTGTTGTTCAGTTGTGTCCAACTCTTCATGAACCCATTTGGGGTTTTCTTGGCAAAGATACTGGAGTGGTTTGCCATTTAATTCTCTGGCTCATTTTGCAGATGAAGAAACTGAGGCAAACAGGCTTAAGCTGGGTGACCCTGGGTGAGTCATTTAACCTTCTTTGCCTCAGTTTCCTCATCTGTAAAATGAGCTGGAGAAGGAAATGGCAAACCACTCCAGTGTCTTTGCCAAGAAAACCCCAAAAGGACTCACGATGAGTTGGACATGATTTGCCTGAGGTCACACTAATAAGTGTCACACAGCTACTAAGGCTGCATTTAAACTCAGGAATGGGCATCTTCCTGACTCTAGGCCTGTTACTCTATCCATTGTGCCCCCAGCTGCCCCCAAACAAGGACTACTTGACTACAAGTCCAACACTTCATCCCCTACTGCACCCTGCATCCACTTCTAGGTAGCTAGATAGGGCACTAGACCTGGAGTCAGCAAGACCTGAGTTCAAATATCACCTCTGATGCATACTAGCTGTGTGACCATGGGCGACTGACTTAACATCTGTGTGCCGCACTTTCCTCAACTACAAAATGGGGATCGTAATAGCACCTACATCTCAAGGTTGTTGGGAGGCCCAAATGAGATAATATTTGTAGGGGCAGCTAAGTGGCACAGTGGATAGAGCACTGGCCCTGACGTCAGGAGTACCTGAGTTCAAATCCAGCCTCAGACCAAACACTTGACACTTACTAGCTGTGCGACCCTGGGCAAGTCACTTAACCCCAATTGCCTAAAGAAAGGGGAGAAAAGTATAGTAAACACACACACACAAACCTTAAATCTTATTATTTTACAGAAAAGGCAATCAAGAGAATATCAGTCATTATGTACCTAAATGCCTACTTTCTCATATCTACAAAATTTTTGTGAGAATCTATCTAGGGTATGGGGCAGCTAGGTGGTACAGTGGATAGAGTGACAGAGCATCCGGCCTGAAGTCTGGAAGATTTATCTTCCTGAGTTTAAATCTGGCCTCAAACACTTAATAGCTGGGTGACCCTGGGTGAGTCACTTAACCTTGTTTGCCTCAGTTTCCTCATCTGTAAAATGGGCTGGAGAAGGAAATGGCAAACCACTCCGGCGTCTTTGCCAAGAGAACCCCATAGGAACTCACAATGAGTTGGACATGATCAAAACAACTGAACAACAAATAAATTTAGGGTATGCTTAAAGAAAGTATAAAAAGCTTTCAGAATGATTTTCCACAGTTGACCATATATTTATAGTAATACAATTGAGTATGCTCTGACTACTAAAAATCTTTTGCCTTGGTAGAGCAAAATACTGCCCTCAAGGCTCTCCCCCAGCAAGGAGACTCCTTGGCATATGTCAAAATCCTACAAGATTCCTTCAAAGAGTTTCAAGGCAGAGTCAGTCACTCTTTTGGTTTCCTTGTCTTCTCCTCTTGCTCCTTAAGGCTTTACTGTTTACCATTTGGTGAGAGCATTCAACAGTATGGAACGTTCTGTTTGTTGCTAGTAGCCAAGTCAGTGGAGTTTCTTTGATAGGGATCTAGCCCTTTGTAGGTGAAGGTTTGGCTCTGGAGGAGAAAGTGAGGCTGGTGATTTTGCACAAACCTTCCTTCACTCAATTGGATTTCAATTCAAAAGCAAGTCATGCCATCATCTCCCTGATGTCATGCTCTTCTTAGAGAATGAAGTACAAAGTACAACCTGTAAGTAGTCCAAGCTGCCCTAATGGGGACCCAGCTGGCCAATTCCAGGTGGGTAACTCCCCTCCCCTCCACTCCCTCCCACAGCACAAGGACAAGAGTAGAAAAAGAGAAGGTAGTAATCAAAGCGTTTTTGGGAAAATGTCATTCCTCAATTTCTTATTTTCTACTAATCTGTTGAGGTCTTACTTATTATAACCATTCGTAATTTCTGTAGATGTCTCATATTTTCTGATTCAGTGGAAATTCCTTGAATCTACTATGGAACTCAATTTGTCTTGTCTCTCACTCTGGGAATCAACTTTTCATACCCATCTCTCTAGGATGTCATCATCCAAGAGAACCATTTTCTCTTTTACTTTTTTTAAAATTTTGTTTCTTTGTTTACTTGCTCATTCCAAATTATCCTCTTCATCCTTCTCTACTTGAAAATTATTGTCTCCCTTTTTTCCTCCCTAGTCCTTGTCTCTTGTTCCTTTTCTGCCTCCTCTTCCCACTGAACCCCAATTAGGTGCTTGCAGATCAGCTAACTTTTTTTTAAAGCCCCCTTTTTTTACACCAATAGAAATACGATAGGCTTTATTCTCATTGGTTTTAATAATCATGTATCACTTTATTGATCATCTTAACATGATTTCAAATAAATAGAAAGTCATTTTCACTATCACTTTCAGTCATGTGCATTGAGAGTCAGCCATAATAATTACCAACATTGACAGCCCTCTACTGATTAGTGATGGGGCAGATAATGAGTGATCCAGGGGTACTTTCTTCCTTAGGCATGCCAAAAGAGAAGTAAGGGCGGAAAGGCCCTTCAAAGACTATATTTGAGGGACTGTAGATAAGGGATCTATCTGTGACATCATAAAATGCTAAATGTCCCTTTTCATAATCAAGAAAAATGCCTACATTGTTTATAGGCCGAACCAAGTGAAAGCCATTATGTGAATTCAAAAGGTAGAAACTATTTCCAGATGTGCAGCCTGCTGGGGTTCTTACACCCTCAGAGGAGGAGGAAAGTTTCCCCTTTCTGCTGACTGAATCTTTACAGATGCCCAGTTCCCACTCTGTCTCATCTCCCACCTTCACTTCCCAATAGTGTTTGCCTGAGGTGAACGTCTGGGCCCCCAAAACAGCAAGAACATAATCAAATCTCTCTTTGTTGTCAGGCAGGTCCTGAGGGACACTTGCATACTGGACCCTCTTCAGGTCTTCAGACAGGATGAGATGAGGATTGGCTGATTCAGCATCAAGAGTTATATCCCTCTGGAAACTCATGGCTCTTGAAGCAGCAATTCCTCATTCCTTTCCATTGTGCCTGTCACAGCCTGCAGCAGCTCCAAGGGCACCTTGTCCAAATTCTCCTCTACTTCTACAATCATCTGTTGCAGATCCTGGAGTTGTTGGGACAGCTTGGCCTTGCTCTTCTCCAGTTTGGCCAGGCTTCTCTGGATTCCTGATCCACTCTTTGCAAGTATTGATATTCTTCATCCCATAAGAACTGGTGCATTTTCCCATACTCAGAAGTAACTGCCTGTATCAAAAAGTAGGCCTCCTCCTTACAGCGTAGCCTGGTTCTTCTCGTTTTGTCCAGTGCCTTTTTAAATTTCTCTTCTTTTTGCTGTAAGGCAGTGAGTGTCTTCTGCAGCTTGTCCTTGCACTTGTCAGCAGCTGTTTCCAAGGGAATGACCTGTTGATCCTTGTGCTCTGGGGCTAATAAACAGGAATCACAGAGGAGTGTCAGGTCTTCCTCACAGAAGAATTTCTCTTTTCCCCCATGCTGATCACAGGTGGTCAGGCCCACCATGGTCTGCAGCAAATGAGGTCTGAGCATTTTGCAAGTGATGGACAGATTCTGCAGGTTCTCGTTGGGCACCAAGTCACTAGATTTGATGACTCCTCTGCATTCTGGGCAGGTTAAGGTTTCATCAGCTCCCTTCTTGCAATGGAGAAGACATTCTGTGCAAAAGCTATGGCCACATTTGACAGTCACTGGGTCAGTGAAGTAGCCCAGACAGATAGAGCAAGTGAGATCTACCTTGAGGTTTTCAATTAAGTCTCTTGCAGCCATTTCTCTGCCTCTGATTCCTTTCTTCTCCAATATTCCTCTCAGGAGAAATAATGCTCTCTCTTCCTCTGGAGTTCTGGCAGCAAAAGATATTAGCACTGAGCTGTGGGAGTCCCTTCTTTTATATCTCTTCCTCTGCTTAGCTCCTCCCTTTACTCCACCTCCAAAAAGTGAGAACTCTTGTCTTTGGAAAGGGCTTCCAGGGCTCTGCTCTAGGGCTGAGTTCTCACCTTTCTTCTGATCCCATAATTCAGCAGCGTCATTTTTACTTCCTCTTAGTACTTGCAAAGTCTCCTAATTGGCTCATTTAGCAATAACCCATCTCATTTCCAAGCGTGAGGACCATCACATTTCTGATGTTCTGAGATGGAAAGGGGCAAGGAAAACACCAAAGCATTATTCTCTGTCCTCCAAGTTGCCTCCCCCCACAACCAATACACATATTAAATATGGCATGATTGGCCTGACTTTCTAATTTTTGTCCCCTCTCACTGTTATGATTCACTGATTGGAGCAAGATGTCTTCTACATATCTTTTTTTTTTTAAGAGAAACTTACTTCTGATTCCTTTCTTCTCAGATATTCCTCTCAGAAAGGATAAGGCTAGCTCCTTCCTCAGAAGTCTACCACAAAAGATTTGAGAACTGACTTGTTGGTGTCTTTTTTACACCTTCCCCCTTTAAGCTCCTCTTTTTACCCCTCCCTCAAAAGGCGAAAATTCCTACATTCCCAAGTACTTCTAACCTCTTCAATGGAACAGAGTTCTCTCCATTTTCCTTTTTCAGAATCATGGCTTTCAAAGTTCACAATGATGTTCACACCTAAGCACTTTAGACCAGAGTTGTCTTGACCTTCAATCCTTCCAGCCAGTTGGGATTGGGTAGAAAAGATCAGATTTTTAATTGGAAACATAGTGACAATATCAATATTGTTTTTGAACGTCTTCTTTGGCGTGAGATCTGAGTAGCTGGCCCAGTTCCAGTTAGACAAATCCTCTCCTCTTCTCTCCTCCCTTCTTCTCCCTTCCCCTCCCCTTTCCTTACCCTCACCCCCTTCTCCCCTCTCCTTCCCTTTCCTCTACTTCCTTCCCCCCTAACTCTCCTACCCATCCCTCCTCTTCTTTCCTGTCCTCCCCTTACTGAGGGTGTTCTGACCAAAGGAAGGTAAATTTGGATGGCAGTAACCTACCTAGTTTACTTGGGGTTTGCTGGCTAGATTTCTTTCTCAAAGACCAAGCCTTAAATCCAATTAATTCACTCTATATCTCATTGATTGGACAACAAATAGGTCCCCACCAGACCCAAGCACCACTTAAGGGTTATTTTTGGGGCCCTCCTGGCTTGGAGTGAATATAAACAGTAACTGTTTCTCTTTTGGCCAGCAACCCTGAAGGTCTTCCCTTCCCACTTTGAGTTTTTTTTATTAAAGGGGCATTGACTTAGGTCTTAAGGAAGCCAATTCACTGAATGGGCTTTGCTTCACTCAAAGTGAGTACTTGAAGAGAAAAGGCCAAGGTCTCCCACTGCATCCTGGGCCATCTCCAGTTGTCCTGAATGATATCTGGCCACTGGACCCAGATGGTTCTAGAGGAGAAAGTAAGGCTGGTGACTTTGCACACCCCTCCCTCCTCAAATCAAATTAAGTCATGTCATCATCTCCTGATGTCATGGTCCTTTTCAAGAACAAAGGACAAACCATACAACCACAACCACGAGGTGAAGGGTAGGTGAGCAGAACTGGTTACTCTCCATTTAACTGGCCCCCTCCCTCATGTGGACATTGCCACATATTCCCAATTCATTCCTTCAAGTATGTCTTTATCTTCCACAAACAGCTTTAGCTTCAACTCCAGTCCTTGAAGGCAGCTAGGTTCCATATGGGATAGAATGCTGGGCCTGGAATTGTCAAGAGCAGAAACTTGCCTCAGGTACTTTGAAACTTGCCTCAGGTACTTAGCTTTAGAACCCAGGCAAGGCACTTAACCTTTCTCTGCCTCAGTTTTCCCATCTGCAATATGAAAAGAATAATACCACCTACCTCACAGGGTTGTTGAAAGAATCAGATGAAACAGCATGTGAAACCTTTTCAAACTCTTAAAAGACTATAAATGCTAGCTATTTTTTATTGTTGTTGTTATTATTGTTATTGAAGAATAGGTTTCTTTAACCTGTGTAGAAAGATCGAAGGGTCCAAAGATACCTGTAGTACCTAACTTCAGTATGGCTAAGACACACACACACACATACACACACATACACACACACACACACACACACACACACATATTTTTTTTTGCTTTTAATTTTGGTCAGGATTTACTTAAGGTTTCTCTGCATTTGGGAACTTAAATTATGAATCAGTAATTCTCTTTTCAGTACACCTCTGAGCCCCCATGCAGATATGAAAATCTCTCTGTCTCTCTGGATACTACATTATCCGTTTGCCCCCAAGGATACACAGAAATCAATACAATAAAACAATCGCACAGTCTGAAAGCAACTGACCAGACACGAAGCAAACAGATTCTTAAATGAGGATTGGCCAAGCAGATTCATCTCTCCCTAGAGAGATAATCAGAGAGCAGAGAGAAAAAGGCAGAAGAGAGAGGCTTTGGATTTACTGATTTGTCTCTCTTCAGCTCCATAGGCACAGCAGCAGCTACATCTGGCTTGCAATCCACCTTGATCATACTGTCCCCCTAGCAGAGTCTCAGAACCTTCCTCTTTTCACTCCCTGTAGCATTGCCTGATACTGTCTGAGGACGGTTGTTACAACAGGGTTTGGCAGTATTCCCCATCTCCCCACCATTTTGGTTTCCCTCTTCTATTGGTTGCAATGGTTATTTTTTCTAGAGCTCCTCACATCTTTCTCTTAAAGTTACTTGCTCATTTTTCAACTCTTATGCAATTTCAGCTCTACTCTCTCCTTCGGGATGATAAAGAAAGAGACTACCTTTTCATAAACAGTTCTTGAGTCAGAGTGTACTAGTGATTGCTGTCCTGACTCTCAGACATCCATCTTCAGTGGTCAGTCCAATTCTTCAGTCATTCTCAAAGTGAGTGCTACATTCAAATGGCATCTTAGTCCTCAGAATGGGATACATTTGTTTCCTATATCCTATGCTCAGATTATCAGAGGGGCCTGTGATCTCACTGATGTGGGTATTTCCTACAGTTGTATGTATCAGAACCCATCCCATTCTTGCCCATCCTGCACGTCTCTTAATCATTTTTTTAAAATAAGTTAACACATATAACACTTTCATGGTTTGCAAAATAATTTATATTCAATTCTTGCAACAATGCTGTGAGATAGGTGCCATTATTATTTCCAATTTACAAATAGGGAAATTGAGGCTCATCAAGGTAAAAGTAGAATCACATAGATAGTAACACACATAGTCTAACTCTTGTTTGTGTCCTTTCATAATTTTTTACACAGGGGGTCTATACAATGTGTTAGCCCCCAATGTGTAGGGCTGTCTGGCACTTTCTCTTGACATTGTAAGGATAGCAACAAAGCACATCAACATAACCATCAGTTATCCCTCAATTTTATTGTGGAATTAGCCATCTTCTTTTTGGTTTATTTCTTTGTTGACATCCTTTGCTTTGTTTCTCCCACTCTAAAACTCATTAAATTGAGGACATTCTAAAATCATATAGCTAGAGCTGGAAGGGCCTTTAAAACATAGGAGTATAGCTATAAAGATGGAAGAGATTGTAGAGGTCGTCTAGTACAGTCCCCCCCATTGTACAGATGAGAAAACTGAGGAACTGAAACTAGAATTGAGTAAGCAGAAGGATTTGTCTTCTGATAAGTCTTCTGATTCCAAATCAAGCTTTCTTTCTGCTAAGCTTAACTTTGGATACTCAACACCTTCCCAAATCCCTCAGCCTTCTCTCCCCTCTGATTAGAGGACTGGAAGATGGACCTCTAAACTCCTCCAAAGGCTCTCCTTTAGAGAAAAAGGATCTGGGCTTTCCACTTTTCATCTCCAGGTCTATTTGGTTTGAACTCCAAGAAGCATGATTGTCTTGCCCCTCCCTTTATAGCTTCCTTTGGGTGTTATTTCCCTCTATTAGACTGTAAACTCCTTGAGGGAAGGGACTGTCTTTCTTTATCTTAATTGTACGCCAGCATTTAGCACAGTGCCTGGCACACAGTAGGCACTTAATAAATGTCTATTACATTAAATCGAATTTAATTCTTCCTCTCTAGATGGTTCATCTTACAGAATACTTCCCAAGGTCAAAGAGGGTTAAGACATGTTCTGCTTTGGTCCCAGAGAGCTGAACTATGTGTGAACAATGGGTAGAAGTTAAAAAGAGGTAAACTGAGGATTGACATTGGGGAAAACACATCAATAATTAGAGCTATAGAAAAGTGGAATGGGTTTGTTCTAGGGGTCATGTATTCACCTTCACTTGATGTTTAAGGGAAGGCTAGATTGACACTTGTGAAGCATGTTGTAGAAGGAATCTTTGTTCAAGTTTAGGTTTAACTGGACGGCCCTGGGGACTCTACAATTCTGAGATTCTAGGATTCCATGGGATTCTATGATTCATTATGATCTAGGTTTGCTTGGACCAGAAGTGGCAAATCTGATTACAAATGCTTTTCTTTTGGTTTCTTTTTATTTTGGGGACTCTAATGCGGTTTTAAATTTGAAACAAAGGGTGGAATTAGTTTTTACTTTACCTAAATTAGTCTCCTCTGATTACTAGAGGAATGAAAAATAAGTTAATTCCCTTTATAAATGAAAAGTAGATGCACTCAAAAAACAAAGCTTCAAATGAACAAAGAGAAAGAAAAGCCATCTCTCCTGGGAAGGATGGAGGAAAATGAAGGAAAATGTTCTCATCAAAAAGAGACATGGAACTAGAAGCAGCAAAGGGGTACTGAACTAAGTTAGGGATGGAGGTTATTTTTGGTCTCAGCAAGACTTTCAATATGCACAGAAAGAAGAGAAAAATGATTGTGGGCCTTTATAAGAGATGTGGCAGACTGATGGACGTGAGTCCT